GTCTCAGGGATCATGTCAATTTCAAAACTTTATTTTTTACAAACTTTATTTATAAAATTGCTGCAAAAAGCACGTCACCAGTTAGAATAAACGCGTACATTCGTGCAGCTCCAGGCAAAATAGCAACAACAAAAATATTAGTCGAACTTTTCCGATTTGATTCACATTAATGCTAAATTCGGCCATTTTGAATCTTGTAAAATTTTAAAAATAGCGTCCTTGATTTTTTTAAAATATTGTTGCACGAGGACAAGGTTGTAGAGAAAAATAATTTCTTTCTGGGATCTTTTTTTTTTAATTTTAGTAATTTTAAGTTAAAATTTAAAAACAAATGTTAAAACTCAAATGTCCCAAAATGTCCTTGCTTGATATTTGAAAAATAAATAAATAAAAGTTTATGAAAAACGCAAATTTTTGGAATGTCTAAGACCATGGTCACTTGGAAAATAACAAAAATCGCAAAACAAGAACTTTTGGTTAAATTTTAAATCTTTTTATTGGTATGCTTTTTGTGGATTTCTGTACAGAAAATTATTAATTATTAAAGTTATTAATAGTTTTATTAAAACATTGATTTTTTAGTACACATTTTATGCGAGAAACGTTTTAACAAAAATTAAAATTTGAGCATTTATTTAAAAAAATCAACCTTTAAAAATTTTCTTTTATTTTTTTCATGAATATACTGAATGATATTTTTGCATTTTTTTCCCCAGTAAAACATTATTTTTTTCTAAAATTTTGTCTCAAACGTCATTTTGATCAGAAGTGCAGTGCGTGCTACATTTTTTTTGAAAAATTTCAAATGCGTGATTTTGAAAATATTACAAGATCCTAAATGGTCGAATTCAAGCAAAACTGTGAATCATTAACCATAAAAACAATTATTCAAAGTTTCAAACAAATTGGTAACGTAATTTTTTTTTCTGATTCGTTATTTGACGTGGAACTTATATAAAACAATCAAAAAAACTTATGACTTAGGTGACCAAATTTAAAGGTTTATTGATTTTTCCGGTTTTCCCGTCGAAATCAAGGTTTTTTTTCGGTTTTCCCGGATACTTTTCAAATTTCCGGTTTTCCCGGTTCACTGGCCACCCTGTAATACCCATATAGTTTTTTTTTCCAAAACCGGAAGCCACAATCTTCAATTCCAAAATTACTTCAAACATCGATTTGAGGCCTTCAAATATCGACCGGGTATTTGAAGTCCGGGAAAATCTGAAAACTTAAAATAAAATTTTCTGGGCAGCTAGATTTTTGTTAATAAATCAAAAACGGTAAGAGACCACTTTGAAATTTTTATCAGGGAAATATATTTTTATTCTAAACATGAATACAGGGTGTCCCACATCAAATTGCATCACGGAAAAACGTTGTAGAAAATTATCCATTGGGTATTTTCTCTTGAAAATTTGGGTAGAAGTAGTTAAAAGTGTATTGTTGTGCATTTTTATCGCTGTCAGTTTTTCGAAAGTTGTGATTAAATATTACTAAGAAACTCTGAGCCGGCGGCGGTGGTGTAGTGGTAAGCGTGACTGCTTTCTCACCCCAATAGGTCTGGGTTTAATCCCAGTCGAGATCGGTGAGATTTTTCTGAGGCATAAAAATCTCTGGTTACGTCTTCCTTCGGAAAGGAAGTAAAGCCGTTGGTCCCGGCCCATGTGTGTTGTGAATGGGTGCGATATCCTACGCAGGTGTGGAAGCTGCCTTCCTGCAAATTCGATTGCCGTTAATGGATGGCAATCGATGTCCGTCGGTGATTGGCACTAGATTGCGGAACAGAGACTGACGTTAAATAAAGGGAAAAAAAGAAACTCTGAGCATCGAACGGAAAGAGAAATGTGGATTGAATGGATGTGGATTAGTGATCAGCGTGTCTTGAAAGCGTTCAAGCGGAATTCCAATGCAATGGTCAGGGAGGTGGTCAAAAAGTTGAATCTGTCGAAGTCTTTCGTTCAGAGAGCCTAGGACCGGGAGGGACTGCATACGTACAAAGTGCAGCAGGCTCCAAATCGTGGAAAATACGGTGGGAAAGTCACGGGCCCGGATATTGTACACCCAGATGCTGACGAAGTCTCATTGTCTCATCATGCATTATAAGATTTACGTCAAAGCAGACTTCCGGCAGCTTCCGGGGCTACTGTTCTTCACCGCCCAGTGCAAGTTTGATGTTCCGGAGAAAGCAAGCATAAACTTTCAAAGTTTGCCAAGAAATACATGATTTGGCAAGCGATCTGCTCTTGTGGTAAACGGGGTGCGACGTTCGTGACTACCGGGACTCGAAACGGGGGGAGTATCTGCAGAAGCGTCTGCTTCCTATGTTGAAGCAACACGAGGGCCCTACGATCTTCTGGCTAGATCTAGCTTTGTGCCACTATTCAAATGTTGTCGTGGAGTGGTACGTAGCCAACGGGGTCGTAGCCAATAACATGATCCCTCCCAACACACCGGAACTAAGTCCCATCGAAAAATACTGGGCTATTATGAAGCAGACACTACGGAAGCATCCCAAGGAGGTCAAATCTGAGGAAGACATTAAAAAAAGTGGGTTTCCGTACAGAAGAAGCTGCAGCCAGATGTTGTACAGAATCTAATGAGTGGAGTTAAGCGTAAGGTGCGAGCGTACGGCTATGGCATTGACCCAAGTAACACTTGCAACATCTTGCATGAAAAATAAAAAAAAATTCCAGTTGTAAATAAGTTCTATATTAATTGTTTTCAAAACATCCTGTTTTAGACGCGTTGTATTGTTGTTTGTGAAGTATGCAACCTTTCTGACAAGCACTTGTTATCTTGAAGTTATAATTCGATATTCCATGTCTCAATTACCAGTTTATAACACATTTATAACTGATTGTATTTGGTGAAAACTGGCTAGCCTTATGTACATCATGTTTTCATATGTCATTATTAGAAACATGAATACATCTGAGATATAACTTATTGATAACATGTTATTAATAAGTTATATTTCAGTTGTACTCACTCATGTTTCCAAAAATGACATATGCAAATATGGTATATAAGGCTAGCAAGTTTTCATCTAAAACAATCAGTTATAAAAGTGTTATAAATAGGCAATTGAGAGTTGCCATACCTAATTATAACTTCAATATACGATACAAGTAATGTTCTTGTTTTTCGTGTTATAAACATGTTTTGATAACAATTATGAAATTTCTCAATGCATTCTACAAACTGCACTACAATATGGCTGACCAATGAAGCAATGTATAGAATGAAAAAAAAAAATCAATTTGTGCTTTCAACATCACATTTACGTTTTGTAAAAGAGAAAAATAAGATAATTGAAAAAGAAAGGTGATATTCTATTTGTTTTTGTTTTTTGCAAAGTTGGGGAATTTTATCCAGAATTTTTTATGCAATTCAATTTATTATATTAAGCTTTTTCTAAGAGCCAATGAGTTTTTTAGAAGTAGAATGTATAGATTTACCATAAATTTGCAACCGCATAAATGTTTGCAGTACGGAATCTCAGCTTAGGCACTTTATTCGCACGATAAAATTCCTTAGAAGAATAAGTTGTGTAAATTGATGATAAACAAATTCCATTCGTAGGAATAAAACTAATTTACAACACGTCCAATACAGTAATTTGCGTTATAGTCATAAATAAGTTGCCCAAGTCAAGCATATGTTATATATAGATCCCACCTCTTGCGCTTTTTTCGGTATAAATAAGTTGTATATAAGTGACTAAACGTAAATTTTTACCGCTGATATTGTCATAAATAAGTTATGTAAACCCGTTTATGACAAATTGTGTTGCTTGGGAAGTTGTATGAAATAAATATGCCAAAAGCTTATTAATGGGTTATATTATACTGTCTGAAAGTTTGAAAAGGATCGATCAACTATGTAATTTTCTACAGCGTTTTTTTCATGATGCAATTTGATGTGGGACACCCTTTAAAATAGATGAAAATATGTGCATCACTCAGAAAATGGTTATTCTTGCTTTTGTGATTTTCCTCCATCATGAAGATTTTCGTGGGAAACAATTTTCAGATTATAGTTTATATTAGTTTCTATGATTATTTCCTTATCATTTTACTATTAAACATTTGTTTAACGCTTGCTTGGTCGTAAGTAATGAATTTTCAAAGTACAGTGTATCTCAAAATTGTTCGTACACGATTGAAAAATTTCTTTTTTAAACATGGTGAATAGACGTATTTTTTTTTAAAATCGTGTTCAGTTTATTAATTTATGAAGTTAGATTTATTTTAGACGCTCGATTTTCAACTTTTTACCTAGTGGATGAATTTTAGTAAAATTAGTGGCACATGCATGATCTTTATTACGACTAAAATGAGCAAAATTTAAAGAAATTATGTTCATTTTATTTCAAGAAATAAGGATTTTCAAGAAGAAGGCGTTTCACTTAAATTGCTATAACTTTTTGTAAACTCAACCAAATATGTCCAATACTGAGCCAATAGTTGATAAATGTATGCTGAGTCAGTACTGCTGTACGATCAATTTTGAGATACACTGTACGTGTGCCTTGAGAAAATAGAGTCGTCCCAAAACTGCTCGACTATACGATTAATTACAGAACTATGAAGAAGAATACCTGAAACAGTTATTGTAATGCACCGTATACACCGTATGGTTCGTTAACCCAGACATTTAATTTATTGTTAAATGTAACGTGAACGTAGAAAAATAATATATGAATCATTTATTGGAGAACCCACATCTATTCGATGCAAATGCTGAAAATGGACGAGCTGTTGTATAATTATTATAAGGTGTTCCATACTTGTAGGGGACTGAAGTAATTTCATTCACTCTGTGAAAATAACCAATCTCAAATCAGCAAAGTGAACGTTTATTTTCTAACCGCAGAAAAATGGAAAGGCGAACAACTTTTTTCAAGTATCAGGCAACAGGAACCCATAAAAAACACATCAACATTTTAGTTTCAGACATTTTATTCACTATTAAAATACATATGACTAGAATTGTTTTAACAAAACACGTGTATCGCAACCTCTAATTACATACATTTGAAAACATTCTCACTGGTCCGGTTAAGGACAATTACGATCAGTACTGAGTCGAGAGAAAAATAATATCTTAATATAGTTGTAAAATAAAAAGTAGGTCTTGCTACACTGGTACATTTGATTAATCCTCGCTGAAACTTAATGAGTTCGACAATAAGGTTCAATGGTTTAATTTGCTGTAAATGAGCGCTCGATCCACTCACTCTCACCCCACGCCGGCAACAAACTCAACATCTCAACAGATTAAGAGAGTCCTCTTTAATTCCTTGGCTTAATTCAACAACAATTTGTCAAGTCTTAATCACCCCCACATTATATATTCTCCACCTCCAATTTAACTCAAATAGTCAGTTTGTTCCATCAGATAGTACTGCTGCTGCCCGTGCTGTTGACTACCATTAGCGATGGTATCGATCTGACTCCAGCCGGGTTGCGACGCTGCGTAATTACCGCTACTACTGCTATTCCACCATCCATCAACGCCGAGTGCCGTCTGCTCTACCGTGCCATTCGGAACGAGGGCATCTCCGCTGGAACCTTCGCCGTATCCACCGTACGGTAGCTGCGTTATCGCTGCATTCGGTGAGGCGGAATTGCTGTAATTTTCGTAGCAATAGCTCTCGAGCTGATTGTTCTCGGCTGAGCCGCCGACAACGCCTTCAGTGAGTTGCTTATTCTGCGTCACGCAACTCGATTGGCCAATAAAAAACGAATTGATATCGTCACACAGACGCAGGTTCATCTTGTTCATGTCGGGTAGGTTGCAATTGTTATTGTTGTTATTATTGTTGCTAGTCACTGTGTTTACGCTGTGATAATCAATTTGGGGGCTGGAGTAGTACGAGAAGTCATCAAACACACTGGAGCCGCTAGTTAGACTGGCAGTATCCGTATCGTTGCTGCTAGTTTCGTATTTAATGCAGTCAAAGTAACGAACACCGTAGCTAGCGTTGTTTGGGGTGTTCTTGTAGATATTGCCACTCTCCATGTCTAGAACGGTGGGCGGAGAGCTGCCCAGGGTGTGAAGACTTGTGGTTGAGCTGCTCGGGTACTTGTTGATTGGTCGAATGGGTTGGTCTAGCTGGAAAATTTCCTCCGGATGGATGAAACTAGCATTATCGTAGTAGTAGGTTTGGTTGTAATCTGCGGTTGGTTGATGAGCATGCGTCGATGGGTTGGTCGGAGTGGTAACGTAATTGCATTGGTTGCTCGATTTGTAACCGGTCGGGAAGGTTAAGTTGTAGCTGGATTCGGAATGCAGTCGGTTCAAGTTACTGTTGGACGATAGAGCCTTTCCAGTGTCCAACATTTGTTTGGTGACTTTTTTGGTTTGCTTTGCACTTGTGATCTGTTCATAATTAAAAGGTGATTGTTAGGAAAAATTTAAACTTAAAAAGAGAGGAAACCGTACCTTTGTAACTTTCGATTGAATGGCTTTGAGAACGCGTTCCCGTCGGCCAATGCCCAAAATCTTTCGGGTCTCGCCTGATGATTTCGACTCCGGACGTGCATGATCGTGAACTCCTTTGGCTTGGAAGAAGATGGCATTCGGTGTATGACGCCAGAAATGAGTTACCGGATAGCCACAGTGTCCTCTGCACGGTTGAATCTCCAGCACTCCTCCCACGCAAAGACGATTGGGACATGTTTTTCCCTGTTGTTTTCGTCGGGCCTTATCGCATATGGCAGGCCGCAAATGAATTTTGTCCCCACTGGGCAGGACACATCTCACCGAGCATACCAGCACGCCCAAGCAGCTCTTCTTCAGAATGCTAACATTGTGGTTATTGGTATTTCTCATGGCCCAACCGGAGGAATGTCGTTTGGCCATTTCTTCCATTGCACGGTAGATGTGGCGACAGTGGCCATCACTCCATTCGTCGAACTCATCGAGATCTGCTTCGTTTACTAACGGTACGTTCGGATCGTTGATGTCCCACTCGAGACCGATCCGGCCGGATGTGTTGGATGTGATGATGTTTGATTGCCTGGAAAATGCAAAACCAACGATACTGGTTAGTCTCTGTCAAACTGTTAGAATCAATGCTTATTATTTGAAATTTAAAAATATGTCGTTATGATCAGGATTGTTAATCGATAAACATCGATGACGTCTGCGTTAACGTAGGGTGGAGAACGGCTTTAGCCCCGCTAGACCTTATTCCAAGCACGGGGTTTTTCTAAAGAGAATCGCCACTATGCAATCAGAACTCAATCCAAAAGATGCTGTGCGATGTGAAGCATACAGCTAACATTGAGCGTTGTAAGATATTGTTTACCCCATGGAATGGGGGGACCGAAGCCGTTCTCCACCCTATGTAATGGGAATTTCCCATTATAGACGTTATTGGCGGTAGTGATTAATCATTCTGGCTGTGATAAATGTAACATTAACATACTGTGATTGAAGAGCCAGTAGCGGTAAACGAAGTTTAAATTAGAAGGACAAATTATTAGTGACAAGAGTCTGTATGCGTGCAGAAACGCATCTCAAGACAAAAGTTCATTATGAGGTTTGCGAAACCTGTGCAAACTAAAACTCAATGCTTTAACAATTGATTGGATGGTTTCTGGAGCACCATACAATTCCGGTTATATTGAAGAAAATAGCTATTTCCATAGATTCTCTAGTCCGTCATGTTCAAACAATATCTGGTCATTTTTTTTCTCGTTATGGAGTATTTAATGATTTTCCGTGGCAAAACATCGCAAAACCGTCATAAAGGGTGGTGATTAATGTAATTTTAGTTATCTTATTTCATTCAGTTTTTATTTATTGCTTTATTAGTGATTTTTAGCCGTTGGCTTGTTTATCATCTACAGTTGAAAGTGATTTGACAACATTTATGGAACAAATCATTTATTCATGATCATCATTATAGAGGTACTGAAACGATTATGCAAAACATCCATCATCTGGAACTTGCATTATACCAAACGACCTCCATGTTTAAATAAAATATGCAATTTTTTTAAATATTCCTGACTTCCCTGGGCGCACACTGTGTCCTTTGGTGAAGAAATGTCGGATGTACATGAATGTTGATTAATCCGCAACTTCGTACGAGGTGTAAAGTGTCATTGTTCTTGCCACACAATATACAAATTGAATATTCGTTGGCATAGAATGCTCTCAATTAATAACTGTGGAAGTTGTCGATTTTTGCAAACATCCACATCTGCATAGAAACAAAGTTTAAAAAATGTTGTAAAACTAAGACCTTGATTATGCTTTGCGTCTATAGTAGTCACGGTAATTTTCGGTGATGGATATTAAGAGAAATCTTGATAGCATTTCATCATGAGATGCATATGATCAGCAACAAAAACGATAATCCGCTAGATAGTTGCTGTTTGCGGATAATCAAAACCTTTTGAATGGTTGTCAGATTAGTTCAGAATTTTACCACCATGCAGCACTAGTGAGCATGTGAGCTTCCAGTATATGCTGTATCTCGAAATCCTGACCAGCTGGTCAGCTGTTTTTTTTTCGAAAAAATGATACCTTTCGGTTGGTGAGTAGTTCAAAATTCTACCACTATGTGACACTAATAGGTGTAGGAAATTTCTAAGTGTGCTTTATCTCAAGTTCCTGACTATCTGGGATATTACTGTCTTCGGAAAAGTTGTGCAGTTATTCAAAACCAATCGAATTATGAGTAGATTAGTTCAGAATTCTACAACTGTGTCATGCTAGTGTGTATGTTAAAATTCAATTTGCGCTGATTCACGAGATCCTGACAATGTGGGAAGTTGCTGTCTTCTGCAAAGTTGTTCAAATAGCCAAAACCTTTCAAATGGTAGTCAGATTAGTTTTGAATTCTACTAATGTTGCACTAGTGTGCATGTGACATGTCAAAGTGTGCATTGCCTCGAGATCGTGGATATCTGGGAAATTTATGTCTTCGGCAAAGCTGTTCAGATAGCCAAAGCCTTTCAAATGATTAATAGATTAGTTCAAAATTCTGCCACTGCGTAGTGGTAGCATAGAGGCTACCTGAGACCAGAAGGTCTCGAAGAAACGTGCTCAACTTTTTGGCTCAGCTCTGGTACTCTCTTCGGTCCCAGGCTATTCGATGCACCCCTCGAAACATAGGAAAATCCACGAACCCCTAATTTTCCCTGTCAAACTTTCATAGCGAATCAAAACAAACATAGTGTAATACTAGAATTTCGACTAGAATGGGGTACGTTAAACGATTTGCTTGGGACCAATAGGCTAGTCAAGTAGTGAGCCAATTTAAAATCGTTAGTTTCCACCGGTTGGTGCTAGTGTGCATGTGAAATGTTTCGAAATCCTTACTATCTGGGAAGTTGGTGAGTTCATGGCGCTACCCAACTAACATTTTCAGCTTTGTAAGCCAACTTTTCGAGCGTTGTGCTGTAAAGTAGCTGAAAAGAAGCTGCAGATACAGCTACAAGCAAAAGCTAGCAAAATAGTGTTGGATAGCGTTTACTCAACTTTCTCACAACCATTATTCAATTTGTGAGTCGCACTGAATAACATCAGCCAATAAACGCTTATGTCACTTCTATACACACACTAATCAACTTTCCACTTGTAGCTGCAAAACAAAGCTAAGAAAGTGAATATATTACTCATTTGATGGCTTCTAAACAACCAACAACTCTTGCTGAATACCATAAACATCAAAAGTGCTTTTTCAACAACTAAACAACCTGTACTCAGCTTATAAACTGTGTTAGAGCAACTTCGGAAGCATTTTCACAGTCAACTAGGTTTATTTTTAGACGTGTGCAGTTTTACAGCTTTTACTCTGCTCTTTTATAACTAGTCGAGAAAAGTGATTCATGTGCACTATTATAAAGCCTCTACTCAGCGATTTGGTTGTAGAAGGGAATGTTGATTTGTTTACATAAGTTCAAAGTGTTGGCGTAGCACAGTTGGTAGTGTCAAGGTTTGCCAATGAGGTCGTCTCGAGTTCGATTCCAGGTTCCGGTGCAGGGTAAATAATTTGGTGATGATTTGTAACTAATTTCGATTAATTTGATTCACAGCAAAATAAACTCAATAAATTCCTTCATAAAAAAGCGTAAACAGTATTTAACCCGGCTTCAAGACAAAGCTGTGTAGTGATTATTGGACAACCGGGAAAAGGTTGAATAAGCGCCTTTCAAGTTCACACACAACTAAACAGCAGGATAACAGCTGTATAGAAGCGTTAATGGATATGCAATAAGAGCTTCTCCCAACCGTTCCAACAGCCATAAGTAGCTGACTAAGTTCGCCAAATTTGCTTGTATAGAGGTTGAGTAAAGGTTTCCTCATATCGTATAACGTTTGAATACAGCTTGAGACTGTATAAATGAAATGAGTAAAGCGTTTACATTGTGAAAATTGTTAGTTGGGTATTGTATAAGTGAAAATAAACAGTGTGATATATCTCGATATTCTGACTATCTGCGTCCTGAAATTCTGCGTGTAAAGGGTGTATTCGATAAAAATGTCACACACATATATGCTCACCAAAAAACCACCAGGGAATGAAAAACTACTATTGGGCTATGATTTACAAAATTTGTTTTATTCCATTTCATCTCCGAACCCGAATTCCCGCCTCTTCCTTTTCACTCCACCCTTCAAATTTTGTACAATCAATTTTATTGCTTTTACCCAAATTTTCTTCAACTCCAGCTCTATTTTAATAGTCTTGGAATGTTTACGAAGTTTCGTCTTCATAATTGCCCAGAATTATTCAATTGAGCGAAGTTCCGGTGAAATTGGTGGGCTCATATCTTTTGGCACAAAATTGACTCCGTTGGCTCGGTACCATTCCAACACGTTTCGAGCGTAGTGGCAGGATGCTAGATCAGGCCAAAACAGAGTTGATCCTTTGTGCTTCCTTATGAATGGCAAGCGACGCTTCTTACAGCACCCTTCCGTGTAAATCGCATCGTTGATTGTTCCGGAAGTGATGAAGGGAGCGCTTATTTCACCACATCCGCAAATCGCCTGCCAGATCAGGAACTTCTTTGCAAACTTCGATCAATTATTCTTGCCCAGGAAGTTGACGGAAGTCGACCTTGACGTAAATTTCGTCCTCCATCAAGATGCAGCACGGTCTGGTGAGCAACTTCGTGTAAAGTTTCCGGGCCTGGGTTTTTGCAGTGATTTTTGCTTTTCATTCCGGTTTGGGGCTTTTTGCACCTTGTAAACTTATAACCCGCACGCTTCATAGTTTTCTGCACAAAACCGACTGACACCTTGGACTTTTTAGCGACATCTCGAATTGACATGTTTGGATGGTTCTGTTGCACCACTTTCCTGGCCATTATGCTGTCCATTGGACTACTTTTACGACCACTTCATTCCTTCCTTCGGGCACTTAGATGCTCTTTGAAGGTTCTTATCACACGAGACACAGTTCTATTTGCAATTCCAAGCTTTTTAGCGATCCACCAGTGGGACGCCTCTGGATTTTGATTGTAAGTGCACACAATTTTTTCACGTACATTTTCTTGTTTCAACGACATGACTGGAACTATGAAACTTGAGAGATTTATACAATACACTATGAATAAAATTTACTCAAATTTTCAAGTTTTTTACTCATACGGTTCAAAAGTTACAGAAGATTTTCGGTGTGCCATTTTTATCGAAAACATCCTTTAGAATGCCTTTGATACCTGAATAACTTAGTTTCAGACAGAAATTACTTTAACGGCCGTAATCTAGAGTTATAGCATATACTGGATGCTCAAATGTACACTAGAGCCACGTAGTGGTAGAAATCTGAGCTTATGTGGTCACGTTTCGAATGGCTCTGGTTACTTAAACAATTTTATCGACAAAATAAACTTCACAGGTAGTCAGAATCTTGTGACGTAGCGCATTTTGTAAGATCATAAACCCACCAACACCACGTTGTGAGTATATTTTCAGCTGACCTGTCCACCATGTAGAAGGTCTTGGTCGGTTCAGCAGCTTTGCCAAAAACGGCAACTTCCCAAATAGTAAAAAATCTCG